TAGTGTCGCTAAAGTTTCGTCGAACAAATTTACGGGAAATCAATTAACAAACGGAGACGTAACAGTATTTAACATTTTTCTTTCTCTTTTTCAGTCACTTCAATAGGATGGAGTCTTAGTGGCCTAAAGAAAACCCCTTAACAAAATACATCGTCACAAACTGAAGTACTTAAAACCCGAAAAGAAATAAAACCAAACGAAAAAAAAATGTAAAAATTCTATTCGTTTTGATAGTCATCGAAGTACAGTCTACAGCATTAGTTTCTGTTGAAGGACTAACTTTTGGTTCAGATTAAGCCCCGAGGGCTTCTGGTGCGTCTGGTTGGACAGGTTTGGAACTTTGCCGACAAGCACGTATCTCCTTTTTATCTCGTCCAATAGCCTATACATTGTATTAAGGGCCGTGATTAATAATTAATAGAAGTTTCAGTTTCTCAACTACTTCGCTGTATTTGAGCAACTAAAATATCTTATAAAAAAGGGTAACACAACAAACTATCGTACGATCACCCAGTATACGTACAGAATGTGGTGAGGAAATATTATTTTTTATTTCATAAACAGTTGATAATAAACTGTTACACGTATTGACATTGCAAAATATAAAATCACGTTCAAGAAATAATATTATGTACAGAGGATTGAGGACGTTATATTAAAGCGACTTTTAATATGCAAATAAGAAAGTCACGTGATAACGATAGCCGACCGCTGTATACATATATATTCTATAACAGTGGTTCTCAAACGTTTCAGGCTCACGTAGCATTTTTTGTTTAATTTTTAAAATTACAAACCTAGGCCTAATTGTTTTTAAAAAAAGATAAAACCCAGTACCAAAAATGCATATTTTTAACACTTACCAATTAATGCGAAAGACGCGATTGTTTTTCGTGGCACGATTTAATAATATATGATACCATTTTTGTCAATTTTAAGTGAAGAAAATACTGTCGAGTCTATTGCAGGTAGAGGGAGAGTCTATAACAGTATAAGTGAGAAGAGTAATATGTATATATATATATATACATGAAAAGCTCAGACGGGGCTTATTATAAATGTTATTATTTCTTATGCTAATTATGTCGTGTACCACCGATTAGCTCCACGTATTACAGTTTGAGAAATATTTAATAAGATCTTAACCTGTAGTATCACTTTTAAAACTTGTACAAAATAGTTTGATACTGAATACATACCCACAAGTTCTATTTTCAAGTCGTATCAAAACTAAAGTATTGTTATCTAGTAAAACAGTTAGTAGGATTAGAAAGCAAAAATGGCGTACACCGATAAAATTGTAACTCAACCAGTACTGGTAGTTGAAAAATAAAAAAAACGCTTGATTTTATTCCGAATTAAATATCGCAGCTGAGATTATAAACAACAACAAAACTAAGATGGCAAGACGAAATGCTTTATGCGTGTAAGATAAGTCCACAGATTATGTTCACTTATGCCTACAGTAACGCAATTCTAAAAAAATAATTTTATTTAAGCCTAGTAATGTTTATCTGCAGATTACGTTCAGTTATGTA